AGTGGTTCGACAAAGGTAGAGGCGGCTACAACAATTCGACTGGTAGAGGAAACCAGAACGAAGGAAACGTGTCAAATTAGAGAAGACCATACCAAGGAAACCAAAAAGGTGGTGTTGCAAATAGAGGAAGAGGTAGTGGTCGAAAACCAGATAAGAGTCACATTCAATGTTACAATTTTCAAAAGTATGGTCACGATTCGAGTGATTGTCTAGAAAAGCGAAAGAATCAAGAAAGTGATACAAAGTTTGCAAAACATGAAGAAGAAGAGATGATGATGATGGTCACAACAAGAGATGAAGATAGATTCAAGGACCAATGGTACTTGGATTCAGGACGCTCATCACATATGTCTGAAAGGAAAGACTGGTTTGTCAACATAAAGCCCTCATTAAAAAAATATGGTAAAATTTACAAATGATAATACCCTAGCTGCTGAACGTATTGGTGATGTCATGATTATGAGGAAATATGGCAAGAGGTCAGTAATTTCCAATGTGTTGTACATACCAGGCATGAAGAGAAATTTTCTCAGTATAGGGTAGTTAGTCGAAAAGAATTATAAAGTGTCAATCAAAGATAAGATGATGAGATTCATCGATGCAAATGGAAGATTAATCTTGAAGGCTCCTATGTCACAGAATAGAACCTTCAAGATCGAACTAAATGTGATGGAGCACAAGTGCCTTTCAACTGCAGATAGCAGAGATGAATGGATATGGCATTATAGACTAGGTCATCTCAACTTCAGAGACATCATAGATTTGAAGAGAAGAAATATGGTTTCAAGATTTCCAAAAATCGACATTCCAAACGAGGTATGTGAGGAATGTGTGCAGGCGAAGCAGCACAAGAATAGCTTTAGCAAGGATGCAGGAAGCAGGTCGAAGGTTATTCTTGAAGTCATATATTCTGATGTATGTGGACCAATCTATGTGGATTCAATGGGAGGTAACAAATACTTTATTACATTCATAGATGATTTCAGTCGAAAGTTGTGGACTTACCTGATCAAAAAGAAAAGTGAAGTGATCAAAGTATTTTCCAAGTTTAAGTCTATGGTCGAAAGATAAAGTGGTCGAAAACTCAAAGTTTTGAGAACTGGTGGTGGTGGAGAGTATGTGTCGAAAGACTTCAACAGGTTATGTGAAAAGGAAGGGATTGTGCATGAGGTAATGTCATCCTATACTCCACAACATAATAGAATTGAAAAAAGGAAGAATTGAACCATCATGAATATGGTGAGAAGTATGTTGAAAGGCGAGAATTTACCTAAAGAGTTTTGAGGTGAAGTTGTTTCGACTGCAACATACATTTTGAACAGATGTCCTATGAAGAAGCTAGAAGGAATTACTCCAGAAGAATGTTGATCTGGTGTGAAGCCTAGCTTGAGTCATCTGAAGGTATTTGGATCTATTGCACATGGACATGCGCCAGATCAGTTGAGAAGAAAACTTGATGACAAGTCGAGTCAAATGATTCTAGTTGGATATCATTCGACGGGAGGCTACAAATTGTTCGACCCAGTGAAAAAGTAAATTGTGATCAGCATGGATATGATCATAGATGAGCTTAAAGAATGGGATTGGACTGAAAATGTCAAGAAAGATTCAGTGGAAATCCTACTTGAAGAACCAGAGACCCAAGTTGAAAGAGAAGATCGACAAGAGGAACCAGCAGTTATAGATCAACCAAGTACAAACAGGCCTCAAATAACAAGACGCATGCCTGCAAGATTGCAAGATTGTGTGATTACATCAGATGATGTGATATATAATGAAGGTGAGTTGATACATTATGCTTTCTATGCAGATGTCGAACCTGTCAATGCAGCTGAAGAATTGAAAGATTCGAAGTGGATGAAAGCAACGAACGAAGAAGTGAAGCCTATTGAAGACAACAACACTTGGTCACTTGTCTAATTGCCTCAAGGCAAGAAGACAATTAATGTCAAGTGGGTATACAAAGTGAAAACGAATTCGAAAGGGGAAGTAACTCGACACAAAGCAAGGCTTGTGGCGAAAGGATTTCTACAGAAAGAGGGAATAAACTTTGATGAAGTTTTTCCACCTGTTGCTAGGATCGAAACAATCAGGTCAGTTGTTGGTCTAGCAGAAATAAACAAATGGCATATATGTCAGATGGACGTAAAGTGCGCATTCCTGAATAGACCCTTAGACGAAGAAGTTTATGTTAAACAACCAGTTGGATTTGTGAAACATGACGAAGAGAGAAAGGTGTACAGGCTTCATAAAGCCCTATATGGATTGAAATAAGCTCCAAGAGCTTGGAATAAGAAATTGCTAGTTTTCTAAGGGAGAAGGAATTTGTGAAGTGCACAACTGAACATGGAGTATATGTAAGAAGAAGAAATAGTGAATTGCTTATACTATGTATCTATGTAGATGATTTATTGATAACGGCTAGCTGCAAAAGTGAGATCGAAGACTTCAAAGGTGATCTCAACAAGAAATTCGAAATGTCTGATCTGGGTGAGATTTCATATTTCCTTGGCATCGAAATCTACAAGATCAATAGAGGTTTGATGATGCATCAAAGAAGATATGCAAGAGAAATTCTCAAGAGGTTTGAGATGGAAGAATGCAACTCAACTTCAATATTTGCAGAACCAAGACTGTAACTGTCGAAAGATAGAAATGAAGATGATGTCGACCCAATCTAATACAGAAGACTTATTGGATCATTGAGATATCTTTGCCATACAAGGCCTGACTTAGCATATAGTGTAGGTACCGTAAGTAGATTCATGCAGAAGCCAGAGGTATCACATCTAACAGCAATGAAGGGGATACTAAGATATCTCAAAAAAATTCTTGACTATGGTATTTTATTTCCTGCAATCGATAAAGGAAAAGAATGCAAGTTAGTGAGATACACTGATTCGAATTAGTGTAGTGATGCTGAAGATCAAAAATCAACCGCAGGATATGCGTTTATGTTAGGTGGTGCACCAGTTGCTTGAAGTTCAAGAAAGGAACCAGTAGTGACATTATCATCATGCGAAACAGAATACATAGCTGCTTCTCTTTGTGCATGTCAAGCAACTTGGATGGTGAACTTGGTCGAAGAGATAACAGGGAAAGATCAAGGAGCAATTACCATGAAGATCGACAGCATGTAAGCTATCAATCTGGCGAAGAACCCGATAGTACATGGTCGAAGCAAGCACATCAAAATGAGGTTTTATTATCTTCGAAAGTAGATAGCAGATGGAAAGATGAATTTAGAACAATGCAGAACTGAGAATCAGATTGCAGAGATCATGACAAAGGGAGTGTGGGTCGAAGTATTCAGAAGACTAAGAATGAATATAGATAGTTTAGACACAATGAATTATGTGGTGTGTTAAATTGTAATTCATAATATCAAAAATATGGTGTGTCGAAGAACACACAAATTAAATTTATTTTAGATTTAAATAGATTTGATTTAGATTTAAAATAAATAGATTTGATTTAGTACCAAAATAGATAGTTTTACACTTTTATAGTTTTGAGTTAACCAAAATCTATAAATAGTGAGTAATCTTTAAATTTGTAATCACGTCAATTAAATTGTATTTACAGAATTCTGCAGAAAATTTTTTTTCTTTTCTTTTTCATGATTCATTATGTAAAAATTCATCATAGATATTTGATGGATTTCCAACATCTATATGTGAAAACTCTTTATTTTTGCACATGTTTCTTTGTTGTGGATAACAAAAATGGTTGTGTTGATATTTTAGTTAATGACTTTCTTATCCTTTGTATAGTTGCAGATAATAGTATTGACAAAGAGGAGGCATCAAAGGAATTGTTATATGTTTTTAAGAAGCTTTTAAGAAGCTAACCTGTCGGTATTTACGCGCTTTATAGCATGGTATGTATAGCATAATAATAGTGGTTTGTAATCATGATATCACGCTATATAGCATGGTTGGTTTGTAACCGGGTCGTGCTTTATCTTGGTTTTGTTTATAAAAAAACTTCAGATTTTAAAGTTTATACTCCTGTAAAATTTAATGTGTTTGATCATAAATGAATATATTATGACAAATGTAAATAATTGAATTAAGTTTCATTAAACTAACTCACTTGATAAGTGTGCATGAATATTATGGGTAAGGGCATAGATTCGACTATTCTTAGCGATTACTTGACCCAAAAAATGACTAATGAAAATGTATTATGATAGAATTACTTTTCGAGTATACTTAACCTCCTCAAAAAAAATCAAGTGAAGAACAATAATTACTTTTAAGGACATATCTAAGAAGAATAGATTTTATATGCGACAATAAAAGGATACGAAAACGTATGGATAATATACACCAGACTCCTACATGTCAAAATTTGGTGGTGTCAACTTAGCATCCTTGTTAAATGAGTCATGGTTTCAGCGTATTCTTTTATTCACAGGCAGGGTCTCTTATCTCTTTGAGTAATCTAAGAATTCTCTCTTTCCACAACCAGACCCTTCAGCTCAATCCAGCCGGTTGAGCCTCTTTGCTGCTCTCTATTTCTGCATAGAGTTGCCGTCTCATTTTAATCGGCCACTTCTTTAATTATCATACATATAAAAGTTAAATAATTAAAATATTGATGATATAGAAGTTGTGTGTGGCTTTGACCGTTTGTGTATCAAACTTCTACGCTAGTTGAAGTCCAACACAACATAAACAAGCTAACTACTTGAATCGGAGGTTAGATGTGGTTATATGACTAAGCATTCTCATCATAAATGTCGTGCAATTAGGGTGCTGGATTTGCCGGACAAATCGCAATTGCAATCACCAATTAAAACTTGGTGCAAAATCAAATAAGTCACAAAAAAGAACTCACTACACAATTTAAAAGGGAATCCAAGAATTGCAATTTTTTTAAACTAACAAGAAAATGAAACACTTGAAATATCGAAATTGTTTAAACATACACCAATTTTAAAAACAGCAACTGAGACTAAAGGGAAACAAATGCAAACAGGCATACACACGTGGAATTCAGAAGCCACCGCGAAGACGAAGAACAAGATGCAGAGTAGATTCCTTCTGTATATTATAATCAGCCAGAGTACGACCATCCTCCAATTGCTTACCAGCAAAAATTAGCCTCTGCTGGTCTGGAGGAATTCCCTCTTTGTCCTGAATTTTAGTCTTCACATTATCAATTGTATCAGAACTTTCTACCTCCAAAGTTATGGTCTTTCCAGTAAGGGTCTTAACGAAAATTTGCATACCCCCACGAAGCCTCAACACCAGATGCAGAGTGGATTCTTTCTGGATGTTATAATCAGCTAGGGTCCTTCCATCTTCAAGCTGCTTACCAGCAAAGATAAGCCTCTGCTGATCAGGAGGGATACCTTCCTTGTCCTGAATCTTAGCTTTCACATTATCAATGGTATCTGAACTCTCAACCTCCAAAGTGATAGTTTTTCCTGTTAAAGTCTTGACAAAAATTTGCATTCCACCTCTCAATCTAAGCACCAAATGAAGGGTAGATTCCTTCTGTATGTTGTAATCAGCTAGGGTTCTTCCGTCCTCAAGTTGTTTCCCTGCAAATATAAGCCTCTGCTGATCAGGAGGGATACCTTCCTTATCCTGTATCTTGGCTTTGACATTATCAATAGTATCAGAGGATTCAACCTCAAGGGTGATGGTCTTCCCTGTCAAGGTCTTGACAAAGATCTGCATTCCACCTCTCAATCGGAGTACAAGGTGAAGAGTGGATTCCTTCTGGATGTTGTAATCAGCAAGGGTGCGACCATCTTCCAATTGTTTTCCAGCAAAGATAAGCCTTTGCTGATCAGGAGGAATACCTTCCTTATCTTGGATTTTAGATTTCACGTTGTCTATGGTATCAGAACTCTCCACCTCAAGAGTGATAGTTTTGCCGGTCAATGTTTTCACAAAGATTTGCATCTGTACAAGTCATCATAGTAAACACCATAAACAACACTACAAATCACAACGCAAAACCTAATTTCGGTAGAACAAATCACAACGCAAAACCTAATTTTGGTAGAACAAATCACAACGCAAGCCCTAATCAACCAAAAATAGAACAAATCACAACACAATCCCTAATCAACCGAAATTAGAACAAATCACAGCACAAACCGTAATCAATCGAAAATTGAACAAATCACAGCACAAACCCTAATCAACCGGAAATTGAACAAATCACAACGCAAGCCCTAATTAACCGAAATTAGAACAAATCACAACACAGATCGCAAATCAGAAACATGATAAAATGAAAAATCGAATTGATCTTAAGATCAAGATCATTCAGCACATAAAAAATTGTTGAAAAATCACAATACTTGAAATTCTGGCTACAGATACTCAATGTCACGATCAATGTTATGACACGGTATCTGACTTACTATATGACAGTAAATACAAAAACAATAAAGAACACAGTCAATTGTTTACCCAGTTCAGTGTGCAACAACACCTACTCTGGGGGCTACCAAGCCAGGGAGGAAATCCACTATAAGAGATGTTAATTCAGGAATAAACCAACCAGTTTATCTCCTTCACTTAAGACCTACCCAATGCAATTTCAATCTAAGTACAACTTAAACCTGAGTTCCTACTACTCCCCCTCAATCACAGCAGTGATACATAAAACAATTTGACTAATGAATTGATGAAGACACTCTTCAAAAACCTACACTTGATTAAGCTTCACAGCTTTTTAATCAAGCAACTCAACCACTCTTGCTTCACAGCTTTGAGTGATACACAAACTTAACTTGACTCTGCTTCACAGCTTTAGTCAAGAAACATTCAAACACTCTTGCTTCAAAGCTTTGAGTGCTACACAACCCTTACAATTAAAAACCTATTCCAAGTCACTTATCACAATGATAATTGCTTGGAGTACAATAATCAAACCTATACAGATTACAAATGATCTTCTGATCAACCAAGGGATTACTTGCAAAACAGCAGCTCTGTTGAATATATAGCAGCTGCAACTTCAGTTAGGGTTTCCACAAAAACCTAGGGTTAATTCCGTTTGACCTTAAGACTAGGTCATAGGACTTTATTAACCAGGTTAGGGTTGAGCTAGGTTACCCCTCAGAAAACGCAGGATTCTGTTCTGGAAAGACTGAGTTATTTCCTGAAAAACTCATAATTAACCAACCTGCAAACCTGTTAGATCAGAACAGGATGTCTTAACATCTGTTATGACATCTGAGAAACCTGTCAACTGATTTATGAAAATGTGATCATTTTGCAAAATGCTCAGAAACACACTTAAAAACATCAGTACCTGAATGATAATATTTTTCTGCAAAGGTACCTAACGAATCAGTACAAACTAAACTAGAATGTTATGACATCAGTCATGACATTCACACATACACTTGGGTTTTACCAAAAATGCAAGTCAATAACTAAACACCTACAAACTCCCCCTTTGGCAGATTTTTGGCTAAAGACCCTAAGCAATCAGAGATAGATAGCAGCAGAAAGAGATGACTGCAGAAAAATAAAATGTCTAAATGAGCAAGTACATATTAAGTACCAAAATATTCTCCCCCTCTTTAGCCACAAATGGGCCAAAGATACATATTCATAAAGATTATACAGTTATCCAAAACAAATAACAAGAGCAGCAGTAGAAAACAATTGAGTACACTTCCAAACTCCACCAGATATCAGCACCAACCACCAGCACCACCACACAACAATCAACCTTTAAGCACTGTCATCAGACCCAGAGGATTCGGGCTTCTTCCTTTTCTTGTGAGCAATGTCAGCATTCTTCTCTTTGTTTGATGTCTCAACATTCTTAGAGACATCTGGATTTGTTTCAGCATTTGAACTTTCTTGGTTCAGAGGAACAGAAATGCCAGGAACTGAGTGGTTCTCGTTCAGAATTCTTGAAACAATTTTTGCTATTGCTTGATTAACATAGGTTGTCCCTTCCCTGTTTGCAATTTCAGGGGGAATTGAGGAAGAAGAATGAGATGGCTTACCAGAGGCAGAAGTTTGGGACTTTCCTGCATGTCTTGTTCTCAACTCTTTGACCTTGGTGGGGTTAGTTCCCACTTTTCTACGAGAAGAGATTTCCAGAACTTCAGAGTCCAGACTGGAAGAGATTGTCCCAGAATCTTGATCAGAGGAAGAGGTTGAGATAGTCGTATTGGATGATGACGGCATTTTGACAGTCTTAGAGGACCAACAGCAACTGAAGACAAAATTCTGATTGAGAGACTGGGTTTTGATGAGGAGACGAGAGGGGAAGGAAGAAAATGAGTGTCTATTCAACTTCTTAAAAGAACTGAAGGAAGTGGGAAAATATAATTTTAACCCAATCAGAACACGCATAACTCCTTTAACCCTTGTTTTAAGCAAAATTAATTGTTACAATTCCTCATGTTGGCAAATACCCAACTTATCCCTCAAGTTTTCAAATTGATTTGCATCAAGAGCCTTGGTAAAAATGTCAGCCAGCTGTAGCTCAGTGGCAACATGTTCTAATTTGATAGTCTTCTCTTCTACAAGGTCTATGATAAAGTGATGACGAATGTCAATATGTTTGGTCCTGCTATGCTGAATGGGATTCTTGGAAATGTTGATTGTACTCAGATTGTCACAGTACAATGTCATAACATTTTGTGTGACATTATACTCAGTAAGCATCTGTTTCATCCAGATCATTTGAGAACAACTACTACCAGCTGCAATGTACTCAGCTTCAGCAGTAGAAAGAGACACACAATTCTGTTTCTTGCTAAACCAAGAGACCAGATTATTTCCCAAGAAGAAACATCCTCCAGAGGTGCTTTTTCTATCATCAGCACTACCAGCCCAATCAGCATCACAGTATCCAGTCAGAGCTGGTTCACAGCCATGAGAATACATCAACCCATAGTTGTACGTTCCACTCACATACTTCAAGATTCTTTTCACTTGATTGATATGACTGACTTTAGGATCAGCTTGGTATCTTGCACAGACTCCAACTGCAAAAGCAATATCAGGTCTGCTGGCTGTCAAGTACAACAAGCTCCCTATCATGCTTCTGTACAGACTTTGATCCACCTTAACCCCACTTGAGTCTTTGGAAAGCTTTAAATGAGTAGGAGCAGGAGTCCTTTTGTGACTGGCATTCTCCATACCAAACTTCTTTACAATGTTCTTAGCATACTTGCTTTGAGATAGGAAGATTGAGTCCTCCATCTGTGAGACTTGTAGTCCAAGAAAATAAGTTAGTTCTCCCATGAGACTCATTTCAAATTCAGCCTGCATCTGGTCAGCAAAATGTTTAACCATAGGTTCTGACATTCCTCCAAACACTATGTCATCAACATATATTTGGGCAACCATCAACTTCCCTCCTTCAGTTTTGACAAAGAGAGTTTTGTCCAAGCCTCCTTTTCTGTATCCTTTGTCTGAGAGAAACTTTGTTAACCTGTCATACCATGCTCTAGGAGCTTGTTTCAGGCCATATAGAGCTTTTCTCAATTTGTAGACATGATCAGGGTGGTTTGGATCCACAAAGCCTTTAGGTTGTTCCACATAAGCTTCCTCATTTAAGTACCCATTTAGAAAGGCACTTTTCACATCCATCTGAAATAGCTTGAACTTCAGAAGACAAGCAATTGACAATAGGAGTCTGATTGATTCCAGCCTGGCCACAGGTGCAAAGGTTTCATCAAAATCAACCCCTTCAACCTGGGTGTATCCTTGAGCAACAAGTCTTGCCTTATTTCTGGTGATAACTCCTTCAGCATCTGACTTGTTCTTGAAAATCCATTTAGTCCCAATGATGTTGGTTCCTTCAGGTCTAGGGACCAGTTCCCAAACTTCATGTTGCTTGAATTGGTTCAGTTCATCTTGCATTGCACCAATCCAGTATTCATCAGTTAAAGCTTCCTTGACATTTTTTGGTTCTATTTTGGACACAAAACAAGAGTTTGAGATGATTTCTCTAGATCTTGTAGTGACTCCACTGTTGGGATCTCCTATGATGAGCTCTTTTGGATGATCCTTCTGAATTCTGATGGAAGGGATCTTGCTAGCTTCCTTTGATTCAGATTCTGTTGTGGAGGAGTTGGGAAGATCATTCTGTTGGGTTGAAGTCTCAAAGAATGTCTCAACAGTACAAGGAACATCTATTTCTTCATGATAATCATCAATTATAACATTTATTGATTCCATCATGGCTTTGGTTCTGGAATTGAATACTCTATAAGCTCTGCTGTTTGAGGAGTATCCTAGAAATATGCCTTCATCACTTTTAGGGTCCAGTTTTCTTCTTTGTTCCCGATCTGCTAGAATGTAGCATTTGCTGCCAAACACATGGAAGTACTTCACAGTTGGTTTTCTTCCTTTCCAGAGTTCATATATGGTGGATGAGGTTCCCTTTCTCAAGGTGACCCTGTTATGAACATAGCAGGCTGTATTCATAGCTTCAGCCCAAAAATACATGGGAAGTCTTTTAGCATGTAACATTGCTCTGGCAGATTCCTGTATGGTCCTGTTTTTTCTTTCCACAACTCCATTTTGCTGAGGAGTTATAGGAGAAGAAAATTCATGACTAATTCCTTCTGAGGAACAGAAATCATCAAACTTGCTGTTTTCAAATTCCTTGCCATGATCACTTCTGATTCTAACAATACATCCTTCCTTTTCTCTTTGAATTTTTTTGCACAATTCTTTAAACACTTCAAATACATCAGATTTTTCCCTAATGAAATTAATCCAGGTGAATCTGGAAAAATCATCCACAACCACATAGGCATATCTTTTTCCACCAAGACTCTCCACTTGTATTGGTCCCATCAGATCCATATGAAGAAGTTCTAGAACCTTAGAGGTGGTCAGATGTCTTGACTTTGGATGTGACATCCTAGTCTGTTTACCAACCTGACATTCACCACAGACTCTTTCTTCATTAA